GTCACCTACAGTGACAACCTCAGAAGTTTGTTTCCCTTGTACCATGAAGATGTGTGATCCAGGGAGGGGAACCAGGAAGCAGGCTTTGGGGCCACACAGCTGAATTCCTCATTGGGTGCATCACCTCAGGCACAAGTTAATGAACCCCTCTGAGTCTTAGTTTGTTCCACTGTCAAAGGAGATGCTAGTTATGCTAATGACCTTGTAGAGGTAACTATTCTAAGCAGGAATATAAAGCATTTAGATAGATCCTGGGACATGGTAACTGCTCAGAGAAGGCTAATTAGTACCTCCTTCTCCTCCTCCTCTTCCTCCTCCTCCTCTTCCTCCTCTTTTCTTCTTTTCTTCCCTCTCCCCCTCCTCCTTTTCCTCCTCTTCCTCCTTTTCTTTCCCATTTTTTTTTTCATTTTTGCATGAAAGTCTGGCTTAAATCCATGGCAGCAATTTACTGGGAAATTACTTAATAGTGCTGTACACAATGCAGGTACTGAATTTGAGCAAATGGATAGCATGCTCTGATAGGGAGGCCTAGGAGGCAGGGAGAGCCACAGGTCCCGGGTAAACAGCAAATAGAAAAGAATGAAGTATGAATCTGAAGTCATGACTGGGTGTGATATCAAACAGACCTGCTTCAGTGATAGATGCCTCCAAAGCCAATGCCCCTTCCATCTGCACAAACATGAATATCAGAGAGAGAGACAGATAGGCATACAGACAGACAGAGACAGAGGAAGATAGAGCGAGAGAAGCTGAAGTTTCTAGGTAACTCAGCCTCAGATTAAGTGGCAGGAATTTGAGGACAGGCTGTTGACTTCAATGGCCTTATTTGTTGGTGAAAATCATGACAAGTTAAAGACAACCCAGGTATCTATCAATAGGAATCATTAAGTAAATTGTTTTAAGATTGTCTGTCACATGGCAGAAGTTAGCTGATACAAATGACAGCAAAGAGGGGAGCAGGATGCTTTGAGACTCCCTCCGCTCGCTTTACAGATTGATAGTAGTTCTTTTTATTATTTCTATTTTATGTGTATGTGTGTTTTGCCTATCTCTGTAAGTGCACCTGTGTCATGCAATGGCTGAGGAGGACAGAAGAGGGCGTTGGATCCCCTGAAACTGGAGTTATGAATGGTTGTTAGCTGCCATGTGGGTGTTGGGATTTGAACCTGGGTCCTCTGCAAAAACAGCCAGTGCTCTTAATCACTGAGGCATCTCTCCAGCCCCAGATGATGTTATTTTAAATTACAGCTGTGTAAAGTTCACTCTGGTATTTTTTAATGCTCTCAACCATGGAAGGTCTTTACCTAGCTCTAGTCTCATTCCTAAATATTTAGCTTTTAAATAAAATATTATTCAAAGAAAAAGTTCACTGTTAACCAAAGCAGAAAGTTCAAAACCAGTGAACTGTTTGTGTTCTGGAAGTCTGATGCTCAGGGGAGGAAATAGCTAAAGGATGCAGGCTGGAGAGAGGATGGTTGGGAACTGGAAGAAAGCCTTCCAGACATGTTTCCCCACAGCAGCTACCACCAAAGACAGCATCAGAGGACCTAGACACAGAAGGCCAGTGACCTGCAGGGAAGCTCTGCCCAGATGCCTGTCCTCAAAACACCCGGAAGACATCCCACCTCCTTCCCTCCACCCACCTTCACTCTTCATTTCAGGCACACAATATCATCACGTAATAAATACTGGCAGATGTCTCTATTAATAAATGATGACTCCCCAAAGGCGTGGGATGATGGAAGTGCTGCCAGGCCCAGGGCCCTGGAGCTTCCCACAGCAGCACTGTGCAGAAACAACCCTTTTTTCCTCCTTTCTCCTCCCCTCACCCATGCCAACACCAGCAGGTGTCAGTGGAGCCTCTTTAAGGCTCATTGAGATTTTAATGAATTCTGAAGGGGTGGTGGGGAAGGGGGAGGCACCACACTGAAAGACGTTTTCACATGTGGCCAGCTGCTGCAAGGGTCCTCTGTGTAGACTCCACTCCAGTGAGATGGAAGGGGATGCAGAAGGGTGTTGTGGTCCCCATCACCCTCAGTGTGAGTCAGCCACCCCGTCAGCCCCTCCAAAGTCTTGTGCTTTCTCTTACAAGTGGACTTTGTGAATGTCTCAACCCCCTCCCCATCCCTAGCAACTCTGTTCTCCCTCCCACATGCTCCTCCCTTACCTGGCCTCAGCTTATATACACCTCTTCCTCTTGGAAGCTCTGCCACTCTGGTCCTCAAGTCTAGGTTGAGTGATTTTCTTCAGGGCCATACAACTACAACTCCTAGGAGTATATTTGTTGGTTACTGGGTTTTTTGTTTGTTTTTAGACCCCACTAGACATCACTTGGACTTTGGTTGTGCCTGTGTCTGAGGTTTAACCCAGCAGATGGCATACAAGAAGGAAGAGAAGGAAGGAAAGTAGATAGGAGGGAGGGAAGAAGGAAGGAAGGAAGGAAGGAGGGAGGGAGGAGTGAGGGATGGAGGGAGGGAGGGAGGGAGGGAGGGAGGGAGGGAGGGAGGGAGGGAGGGAGGGAGGGAGGGAGGGAGGGAGGGAGGGAGGGAGGAAGAAAAGAGCTGGAGTGGTGGTACACACCTTTAATCTCAGTACTCAGGAGGCAGAGGCAGGCAGATCTCTGAGAGATCAAGGCTTGATCAACAGAGTGAGTTCCAGGCCAGCCAGACCTACAGGGAGACCCCCATCTCAAAAAAACAAAAACCTAACAGCAACAAAAAAAAAGGATTCAGTTTCAACTTTTGGGGATGGAGAGATGGCTCAGTGGCTGCTCCTGCCTAGGATCTGGGTCAATGCCCAGCACCTACATGGTGGCTAACAACTGTTCATAACTCCAGTTCCAAGGGATCCAGTGCCCTCTTCTGGCCTCCATGGGCATTGCACGTATGGGTGAACTTACATTCATGTAGGCAAAACACTCATACACACAAAGTAAAAATAAAATTTAAAAAAGAAACTCATAGAAAGTAAGGGGAAAGAGAAAGGAAGGAGGAAGGAAGGGAAGGAAAAAGGGAAGGAAGAAGGAAGGGAAGTAGGGGAATGAGAGGTGGGGGGGAGAAGTCATGTTGCAGGAGGGAGGGATCTGGATAAACAATGGTCCCACCTTCCAGCACTGAAGCTCCATGGAGCTTTGAGTTCCTGTGGCATCATGAATTTGTGATGTTCCTATTTCTGACTTCTTATATTGAAGTTCACATACAAAGCGATGGGTTTCATTGTAGTTTCATATATGTATGCTATTTGATTTGTTCTTGTTCCTCCTCCTTCTCCACTACCCTCCCCCTGCTCGCCCCCTCCCCCCCTCCCCTTCCTCCTCCCCTTCCTCCTCCAAATAGTTCCTTGCTGTTTTCCTGTCACTTGCACACCACCATCACCCTCTCTTTCTCCCTTGCCCCTCAAGAGCTCTTCCTCTCATGGTCCCTTTTCTGCTTTCAGGGTGCATGTACACACACACACACACACACACTCAATCTAATTTCACGTGAAAGAGAAGAGCCTGACTCATTTCACTGAATAGTTCTACCCCGACAGTTCTTCATCCTCTCCCCCTGACATGTCTGAGTAACACTTTCACAAGTTCATAAAAAGCAGAGCTTGCTTGGCCAGGGTCCTACCAGTCAACCACAGAGATCATCACGTTCAAATCACGCTTGTTCAAAGCCTGTTCAAGGCTCCCATTGGACATCTAGGGAAACTGAGGCCCAGAGCAGAGAGAGAAGGCCTGGTCACCTGGGTAGGTGTTACCTGGGATCAGTGTAACTTCACAGATTCTGAGGATGACATCATTTGGATCAGAAAAGCTGAACATACCTGCAAGTCAGTCATCCCCCTCCATTCAACCCCCCCACTGCCCTCTCCACAGACATGCAAAGGAAAGGCAAGGTGGTGATCATACCACCCTCTGACCGCTGGTGCTTTACAGTTTACATTTGAAGGCTCCACCACCCACTGATGGGAATGGGTGGATTACCAAACCCACTTTACAGCCAGGGCTCCTGGAGGCAGAGGGGGTGTTATCCATAGTCATAAGCACAGTGAGTCCCAGCCTTCCACCACAGGAGGGTGACAGTGACTTCCCATAGCATCTGGATGTATGTTTGTCACTGGGTCCAGCAGCCCAGCTGTTCATTTGTTGGGCCTGGCATCCAATTTGTCATGCATAGTTAGTATAAAAATCCAATTCAAATTACAAGCTCAGTGAGCAAAGCCAGACACTGGGAACCCATGGCATCAGGGTGACCTCAAAGCCAGACACTGGGAACCCATGGCATCGGGGTGACCTCAAAGCCAGACACTGGGAACCCATGGCATCAGGGTGACCTCAAAGCCAGACACTGGGAACCCATGGCATCGGGGTGACCTCAGAGCCAGACACTGGCAGCTCACAATATCCAGGTGACATCAAAACCAGATACTGGGAGCCCACAGCATTGGGGTGACTTCCAGGAGGTGACAGTCAGGAGAGGACAGCCACATTGTGTAGCCAGAATGTCTATCAGCTTTGCCCCACATGCTACAGCTTTGATTCAGAACAGCACTGGCCAGAGTTACATTTTTGCCCATCTGAGGGCAGGGGTCCCAACAGAATGCTGCAGACATGGGCACAGGACTGTCACCTACAACCCCACATATCACCAAGAACTGAGCGAGGGCACCTCTTGAACATGGCCCATATTTCCATACTTCCATCAAAATGAGATTTCTTTTTAAAATTTTGTATTTTTTTCTTGACCTACGTACATTTTTGCATATTTGGGGGGATTTGCTTGCTTGATAGGCATATATAATAGAGTACATGGCCTCAGGTAGGGGGTTGTAGGGGATGCAGATAAGGGAGGGGATCTAAACATGATCAAAATATACTGCATGAGTTTTGCAAAAATTCTATTTTTAAAAACATAAAAAATTGCTTGCTTCATTTTTAACCATCTTATCATATTAATCAGAAAAAGTATGGAAACTCAACTTGTAGAAAAATGGAAGTGTCATAAAATACTCACGGCTCCTTATCACTTCAGGAAGGCCAGACAAGGGGAGAAAGAGAAAAGGACAGTTAGCTGGCAATCCCACAGAAATCCCACAGCCACAGCAGGACCGCCTCGGGGCACTGTAGAGGTTAGACTGTGACAGCCTACTTCATTTTTCTTTTTTGCAGTCATCCTCCACTTGTTTGTTTGAAGCAGGGTCTCAAATATAGCCCAGGTTAGCCTTGAACTCATACCAATCCTCTTGTCTCAGCTTCCCAAACACTGGGAATACAGGTGTGCGCTACCATACCAGCTGCATTTGTACCACAGCTGCCTCTGTGCAGGGTTATCAGAGCCCATTCACAATGAAATGGACAATTAAATCAATTCATTAATTATCCATACTGATTAGCTCTTCCTTCCTCTCTTCCTTCCTTTCTTCCTCCCTTCCACCCTCCCTTCCTCCCTCCCTCCCTTCCTCCCTCCCTCCCTCCCTTCCTTCCTCCCTTCCTTCCTTCTTTCCTCCCTCCCTCCTTCTGTCTTTCTCTTTCTCCTTTCCTTCCTTCCTTCCTTCCTTCCTTCCTTCCTTCCTTCCTTCCTTCCTTCCTTCCTCCCTCCTTCCCTCGCTCCTTCCCTCCCTCCCTCCCTGCCTCCCTTCTTTGAGACAAATGTTCATGTAGTTCAGACTGGCCTAGATTTTGTTATGTAGCCAAGGATAGCCTTGAATCCCTGATCTTCCTACCTCTACTTACTAAGTGCTGGGATTACAAACATGTGCCACCACACCCAGTTGATGCGGAGCTAGGGAGTAAACCCAGGTCTCACGCATGCTAGGCAAGTACTCTACCAACCAACCCACATCATCCCCAGCCCCCATTTATGTCTTTGACTAATGGTTTTTTAGACCCTAAAGAGGAATCACTCAGTGAAAACATGTTCCTTCTCTCTTGAATTCTATTATTTCAAGCGGTGGCACTGGGGGTCCGGACATAATTCCTGAACAGCAAAGTGAGAGCTACCCCAGTATGGAGGGGTGAGTCTGCCCATTCTAGAAAGAGACCAGCACATCACTGTCTTGGTGGTGCCACCATAGGCAGATCGCATTCTCTCTTTGTGCCTTGGTTTCTACCTCCCATTCCTGACAGTCAGCTTGCAGGTCTGCTGTCTAGATAGAAAAGGGCATTCTCCCTGGGCATCCTCACTCTGCCCCCCCGCCAGCTGGGAGTAGGTAAATGAATCCTTTCCATCCAAACTTCAGCACTTTCAGAGAGTAGCAGTAGGTTCCGGGGGCTGAACAAGGAAGACTTCTGAAAGTCACAAAAGCAGGCACTCTGTTTGGGCAGCCAGTAGTTAACGAAGGTTTGTTTCTTCATCTCCTGAGGAGGATGTGAGTGTGACACCACCATGCTAGGCTGGTGTGTGGTGCTGAAGCTAACCCATTAGCAGCTACCGGAAAATCATTTCTTTAAAAAGATTTTATTTAGCCTGGGGTGGTGGCACACACCTTTAATTACAGCACTCAGGAGGTAGAGGTAGGTGGATCTCTGTGAGTTTGAGGCCACCTGGTCTACAGAGCAAGTTCCAGACCAGCCAGGGCTACATAGTGAGACCCTATCTCAAAAAAATTATTTTTTAAATTATGTAGTTATGTGTGTGTGTGTGTGTGTGTGTGTGTGTGTGTGTATGTGTGTGTGGGTATGTGTGCATGAGCACAGGAGAGGGTGTTGGGTCCCCTGGAGCTGGAGTTCCGGGGGCCATGAGCTGCCCAGTGTGGGTACTGGGAACTAAACTTGAGGATTCTCTAAGAGCAGCAAGCACTCTTAACTGCTGAACCATCTCTGCAGCTCTAAAAAAAAACATTTTAATATTTGGAGAAAGTCAAGCAACAATCAAGGTAGTAGATATGTTTAGAGCTCTAACACATGTCACAGGTGCCCTGGAGCATTTAATGGAGCCATGTCTGACTGTTAGAATTATTCTAATTTATTGTCAGGCAAATTGTTTGGCTTCCTATCAACAAAAGTAAACTCTGGTGAATGGGATTTAATTAACTGGCATTTCTTACACAAGATAAATATTTTGCCCCATCCTCTCTCCAGGCAACTGTTTATCTCACAGAGACATGCTTTGGGGGGGGGGTAGAATATTCTCTGTGAACTAAGTTTGTCTAAGAAGACTTATGGGGGGGTGGCCGGAGAGATGGCTCAGTGGTTAAGAGCCCTGACTGCCCTTGCAGAGGACCTTGGTTCTGTTCCCAGCACCCACATGGCAGCGTACAACCATCCGTTAACTCCAGTTCTAGGGAATCCGGTGCCCTCTTCTGACTTCCATGGGTATTGCATGATATAGGTGTCCTTAACACACATGCGGGCAATACACTCATACACATAAAATAAAAATAATAAATAAAAATTAAAAAAAATAAGACATGGGAGGGGCTTGAGAAATAGAGGTTTCTCGTTGAAAAGGCACCTACAGGCTTCGAATGGGTAAAACCCATAGAATGGAAGGTTTTAGGTAGAACTACTGAACAGATGGGGACTTTCCTTTGGAGGCTGTGGATGGCCAAGAAAGCCTTTCCCAGCATTTAACTTGGCTGTGGAAAAATTAATTAAAGCCAATTTTTAATATTATTATTTTGAGACAGAATCTCATGCAACCAATGCTGGCTTCAAACAATAAGTAGCTGAAGATGACCTTGCACTTCTAATCCTCCTGCCTCCATCTTCTAAGTGCTAGGATAACAGGTGTGTACCGCCATGTCTGTTTATATGATGCTGGGGCTTGACCCCAGGACCAAGTGCCTCTTAGACAAGCACTCTGCCAAGTGAGCCACAGTCCCAGCTCCAAGTCACACTTTCTAACTGCACCTCAAGGGACTGTTAGAAAGGGAATTTTCTTTGTCTCTTCCTTTTCAAAATGAATAGACAAAACAGACTTCAACAAAACACAAAAGCTTCTTGTCTAAAGAGTTATGAAAAAGAGCCTAAGTTACAGATGGGGAAAGATGTTAAAATAAAAAAAGAATTGTAACAAAGAAATTTTATCCTGAACAACAGCAATTGTGTCAAGCTTAATAAGAGAGCTTAAAAATGGACAGAAGATGGGGCTGGAGAGATAGATCAGTGGTTAAGAGCAGTTGCTCCTCTCAGCTGAGGATGGCCTTGAGCTCCTGGGCTTCCCGCTTCTACCTCTTAAGTGCTGGGAAGGCATGTGCCACCACACCAGGCTGTTTGGCAATTTCCTAAACAGTTAAAGCAGTAACTACTGTAAGACCATGTGACAGAGACATTCCATGCCTGGGTAGGTTACCCAAGAAAAATGAAACACAGTGTGCTTTGTACTAGCCTGACAATCCAAATGCCCATCAATGCTAATTGTGGCATATCTACATTCTGGAGTACTACTCAGTACTGAAAAGAAGTGCTGATATGCAAACAGCATGGTTGGTTCTCAAGATAAGTACACTGAGTAATAAGCCAGATGCTTTCTGCCCCTCAGTATATAGTGCAAGCTTTCATTTACATAAAATTGGAGGAAATGCAAGCTAATTCATGATTGTAGAAAAAAGAGCAGTGATTACTTAGGGATAAGTGGGTAAGAAGGAAGGGCCAGGATTTGGCTCATCTGGCTACATTCATTATTGTGACTGCTGGGATAAATTCATGCAGATGCACTTATATTTAAAAATTATCAGACTGTAATTTTTTTCAAATTGTGCTTCTTTTAATTCCCATTTTATGTGTATGAGTGCTTTGCTTGCATGTGTGTAAGTGTACCTATGTTGTAAAATGCCTGCAGAGGCCAGAAAAGGGCATTGGATCCCCTAGAACTGGAGTTACAAACATTTGTTAACTGCCATGTGGGTGCTTGGGAACTGAACCCAGGTCCTCTGCAAGAGCAGCCAGTGCTCTTAACTGCTGAGCCATCTCTCTGGCTCCTCAAATTGTATTTTTAATGGTTTTAAAGGTGTCGTGTCGAAGGTACATTATAATAAAGGTAATTACACCTTTATAAGGCTATTAAAATGCAAAAGAAAATCCCAGCTGATTCCAGAACAGGTAGACTTGAGGCCCTGAGCCCGCATGTCTAGCAGCCCTGTGTTCCCAAGGCTGATATTGACCTCCTCCAAGCGGGCAGGAACCTGGGTCTGAGACACCCGCCCATACACACAGAGCCAGGATCCTCAAAGGGAGTGAACTTGAACCTGAGACTCCATGTAAAAGTAAATGCCAATTTGCATAAAAATTGTCCTCAAGGTGGGGCCCCAAAATACTCATAGTCTCAGTTCATGCTCAAACATGACCAAGCACTTAAGGCAAATCATCACAGGGGGCCATCTGTAGGGATGGCGGCAACAGCCTTGGGCAGTGACTCCAGGCAGTGGCATGGTGGGAATACTTAACAATGGTCTCAGTCACCCTGACTGACTACAAGTGCCAGCACAGGGTCACATTCAGCATGCAGTAGCAACTGGTGCACAGTGTTCGGTATCATACAAGGACAACCAGCTGATAGCAGAGAAAATCTACCTATAGTGAGGTCATTCCAATATGATTAATTCCAAGTACCTGTCACCTTTGTGTGTAGTAAAGTGCAATTACAAATATCTTTTACTATGCAGCTATGGCACAGTTATTAACTAGTATGCAAAGATCCAGAGAATTCCACATCAGTTGTGATGGACTGTGGGGGTGATCAGCACACCAGTCAGGTGGTGTTCTGGTTAGTTTTCTATTGCTGTGATAAAAACACTGACCAAGGCCAGCTTGGGGAGAAAAGGGTTATTTTATCTTACATCTCCCAGGTCATAGTTCATCACTGAAGGAAGCTAAGGCAGGAACTCAGGGCAGAAACCTGGAGCAGAGACCATGGAGGAAAACTGTTTAACAGCTTGCCCCCTGACCTGTGCTCAGCCTGCTTTCTTATACAACACAGGACCATTTGCCCAGGGGTGGCACCACCCACAACAGGCTGGGTCTTCCTACATCACTCAACAATCAAGAAAATGCCTCATAGACATGGCCATAGGCCAATCCAATGGAGAAAAATTTTCAATTGAGGGTCTCTTTACCCAGGTGTGTTAAGTAGACCACTAAAGCTATCCAGCACAGGAGGGATCATTAGTGGGTGCAGATGTGGTGTTACCATGTGCTCAAAGAAATAAAATTCAGACTCAAAACTGAGAAAAGACCTGGGCCTCTTGGCACATGCCTATAATATTAACATCTGAGAAGCTGAGGCAGGAGGATCATGAGTTTGAGGCCAGCTTGCAATACGTAGTGAGATCCTGTCTCAAAACCAAAAAACTGATCAAAGATCAGGAAAAACAAAAAAGGCCAGGAAAATACTAAAAAGAATGAAAAGGAATTTTATGAATAAATTACTATTACAATCCAAACAGTACAATAAGGGTGATTTAAAGGAAAACTGTTGCTCCTTAAAATAGTCTCAGACTGGGACTCTTAGGGAGGCTGTGGTATCAAGCCACAGACAGATATACTAGCTAGATATACTAACATTATTGACATTGTTTCTTTTAATTATTTTGCTATAGTATAAAGCTAGATATACTAATGTTTTTACTTTTAAAATATTTTATTATCTTTATTTTACGTGTATGAGTGTATTGTCTGCATGTGTTTATAAGTACACCCATGTCATGCAGTGCCCTTTGAGGTCAGAAGAGGGCGTTGGATCTCCTGGAACTGCTGTTATGGATGGTGGTTAGCTGCCATGTGGGTGCTAGGAATTGAACCTGGGTCCTCTGCAAGAGCAGTCAGTGCTCTTAACCACTGAGTCATCTCTCCAGTCCCATGTTTTTACTTTTAATTATCTATTTTTGCTAGAGTATATGACTAGATATAATACTCTCTCTCTCTCTCTTTTTTTTTTTTTTTTTTTTTTTTTTTTGAGACAGGGTCTTACTATACATCCCTGATTGGCCTGGAATTTCCTATGTAGACCAGACCAGTCTTGAGCTCACAGAGATTTGCCTGTCTCTGCCTCCCTAGTGCTGGAACTAAAGGCGTGGGCCACCATGCCTGGTAATAGTTTCTTTTAATTATCTATCTAAATGACCAGATATAGTATTTTCTTTTTTCTTTTCTTTTTTTTTGTTATTGTTATTACTTTTTTGAGACATGGACTCCCAGTAGCCTCAGCTGGCCTGGAACTTGCCTTGTAGACCAGGTTAGCCTCATCTCACAGAGGTCTGCTTGCCTCTGTCTCTTAAGTGCTAGGACTAAAGGCATGCACCATCACGCTTGGCCCATAACACTTTCTTTTTAAAAACCATTTATTTCGGGGCTAGAGAGATGGCTCAGTGGTTAAGAACACTGGTTGTTCTTGCAAAAGACCCAGGTTCGACCCCAGCACCCACATGGCAGCTAACAACTGTCCGTAACTCCAGTTCCAAGGGATCTGATGGCCTCTTCTGTCCTTGCGGGCATTGCACAACATGGGTGCACTTATCTACATGTAGGCAATACACTCATATACATAAAAAAAAAAGTAAAATATTTTTAAAAAACCTTTTATTTCAATAATTCACTTTTGCTATAGTACGTGTCAGATATTATTTATTCTTATAATTGCTCCTGGAAAGCAAGGACAAATTTTCCTTGCTAATAAAAGTGCTTGTAAGTGAGTCAAATACGACATAGGGGAAACTATGAAACTGTCCACATGGCCAAGGCTGGGAAGCGCTTCTGTCCAGGAAGAAAGGATCTTGGTTAAAATCCCTTCTGTGTTCTTTGTGCCACTCTGTGGCTCTGTGACTGTCTCTAAACTTCTATCCACAGACCCTCCACATGGGCAGAAGGAACAGGGAGGCATCTGGAATGGTGTCCATAGAACTGGCCTGGAAATGAAGATACCCACAGTAGGGTCCCTGCTAGAGACACAATAGGGAATGGTGGGGACTGTGGGAAACTGAGAGGCTACTGCTGTCTAAGGAAGGTGGCAATAACTCAGCTCCTGCTGAAGCATTGGTATGGGACTATTTGGGTCCCATGTTGAAAGATATTTTTTTTCTTTTTTAAGAGATGTCAGAAACCTGGATTTTTTTAAATGTGCAATTTCCCAGTTTTTACATAATCAGGCCCCAGAAAGAGAAAAAATAAAAACCCACGTTTCCAAGTCAGAGTCAGTTTGTGGCTGGTCCGTCTATAAACTCCACTCATTTTCCATACTTGCTGAACAGGGAAGCGGAGTCCCAGAGAGAGGAACCATAACAACCTAGGGTCAGTCCTGGAATTCTCACAGACCTGGAGCTGAGCCATGTCCTGCTGCCTCTAGGCCACTCTCTCCTTCCAGCCACCTCTCATCTGCAGCACAAAGCTCAGAATTTCATCTTGATTTTCTAACTTCTTCTCAAGTGATGAAACCAGGCTGAGGCATCCACTACCCACAGGGCTGGGAAGATGGCTTGGAGGGTTAAGTGCTTGTCATGTAAGAGTGAGTACTGGAGCTTGGATCCCCAGAAATCATATCAAAGCCAGACAGGTGTGCTTCATGCTGTTCCAGAACCCTGAGCTTGGGTCCTAGTATCCACATTGGGCAACTCACAACCACCTGAAAGTCCAGTTCCAGGGGATTTGATGCCCTCTTCTGGCCTCTGAGGGTACTCTACCCACATTCACATGACAAACACTTACATGGACACATACACATAAATAAAAAATAAAGAGAAATGGAGGAAGACATTTAACATCACCCCAGGTCTCCCTGAACACCCATACACACGTGCATGTACACCTCAGCCAGCCAAGGAATGGAAACTTGGATCTCTACCCATAATCCCTCTTGCCTTCAGGTGTTGACACTGAGGACCACCCCAACCCAAGGAACTGCTCCCAGAGCCCCCCACACTTACTTTGATTGCAGTGGCCTGTCCCCAGGGCACATCCACCGGTTTACCACAGTGTCCGTCATCGTGGAAGGCTGGTACACCTGGAAAACATCCAATCAAGACAGTTACCCAGTCATCCAGCCACACTACCTCTTAAGCCCCCCACTTTGTGCTTCATATGTGGGGACACATATGAAGCTTTTCCATGGTCAGGGTGGCAGACTCTGGATTCCCAGAGGGCAGTGTCCCCTGGGAGCCTCAGACATCTAGCAGTGAGAGACAGGTCAGGGTACTTCCTGTTCACTGTTGATGCAAGAGAGTTTTTGAGGGTATGACCTTGAAGGGGGCTATAGGATCCTGATTCTGTGGTTTCTCTCTGTTTCTTGGCTCATTATATGAGTGGTTTGCTTGAGACATTCCCATTGGGATGTGCCAGCCTCACCAGAGGACACACCAATGGGGCCGCCCAATCTTTGATTTTGATTCTAGAATCATGAACCAAAATCATCCTCTCTTGCTCACATGTATAGCCTGTGTCTGGCATTTCATTATAGCGGTACAACACAGACTGACTAGGCCTCCTTGTATCCACCCTGCCTGGAGTCAGTTTATCGTCCACATGGCAACTAGGGAGGCCTCGAAAAACATGTTATCACAGCTTGTCAAAACAGCTCCACAGTCAGAGTTAGCATCCGACCTAGAGACTTCACCCCCACATAGCCCCCTATGACACACAGAAACTCCCACACCAGTGCTCACACTAGCATTGGCCATAACAGTGCTAAGCAAAAGTAATTCTGAAGTTCACCAACTCCTGAGTGAACAGAAACAGCCTGGGAAATCCATGCCACAGGAAACTGTCAGACCCCAGGAAAGAATGAACAGTGAGTCTGCGCGTCATGGATGGACCTGGAGCATCTCGTGCTGAGCTTGGACAGGCTAGGCTGGTTAGTCAACAAGCCCCAGAAATCTACTTGTCTCTCCCTCCCCAAGCTGGGACTCCAAGTGCATGTCCCCATGCCTGGCTTTTCTATGCAGATGCCAAGGATAGAACTCTTTGTAAGGCAAGCACTTACTGACTAAGCCGTCTCCCCAGGCTGTGGATCATCCATTTTAAATGATACATTAGGTTATACCTTGAAGAAGTGAGAGATGTAGCCACACTACTTTGGAAAGTGACTTATCAGCATCTACTATAGTGAAAGAGCCATCTGCCCCATGTCTTGAGCATGGTTGTCAGCTGTAGACTCCAGAAAAAGTGCTTCTGGCAGACCCTCAAAACCTGTAGAAAAGCCAGACATGGTGGGGTATGCCTTTGATCCTAGCACTCAGGAAGCAGAGGCAGGTGGATCTCTGTGAGTTCAAAGCTGGTGTGGTTCACATAGTGCGTTCTAGACAGGGAGAAAAGACCAAAAAAAAAAGCCGGAAGGCCGGGACCAAAGAGAACGCACGGTTCAATGGTAGTTAAATCAAGGTTAATGCAGCTGTTCAGCAGGCAGCTGTTCAGCAGTAGCAGAAACAAAGCATACTGAGAGCTGGCTTCGGGAGCGTGCTGATGGGAAAGCACCCAGGGGCCTCCAGGGCCTGAAATACAAGCCGGCGAATGCACCTGCAGCAAGCATAGCCGCACCTGAGCCATGAACATTACGCCCTGTGCTTTGCCCCCAAACCGTGTCAATCTGCTGTGGGTTTTGTTGTTGCCTTTGCTTAAAAGCCCTATTGCTTCTGGAATAAAACCTAACCTGGCTCCCCGTGTCTCCCCATCCCCCGTCACCTTGTGTCTTCTCTCCCCTGGGTCTGGAACCCCTTCTACAGATGTTTGCTCGGCTCCCTTTCTTCCTTCCTTACAAATCTGTCGTCAAATGCCTGCCCACTCCATTCATTTCTTTTTGTTTGTTTGTTTTTTGTCTTTTTGTTTGTTTTTAAGCTCTTGAAATTAACATTTTTTAAGACAATGTCTCATATAGCCAAGGCTGACTTCAAACTCACTATGTGGCTGAAGACGACTTTGAACTCTGATGCTCCTGCCTCCATCTCCAGAGTGCTGGGATCACAGGTATGTACCACCATGCCTGGTTATGAGGTGCTGGGGTTGGAACCCAGGGCCTCTTGCATGGTAGGCCAGTGCTCTACTCCTTAGTTGTATACAAAAGGTTTACTTGATGTTCAAGATGTATATATGCACAGTAAAACAGTCAGTACAGTGACAGAATACACAACCATAGCTCACAAAGTTGCTCATTTTGTTGTTGTTATTTCTGTGACAAGAGCAGCAACAATCTACCAGATTAGCAATGCCCTGTTACAAACTGTCATCTGCATGGTGGTCCTTTGATCTTTCGGTACCTTCATTGTACTGTTTGCTACTCTGGACCCTGCCCAGCCCTCAGTTTAAAGTATCCCCTCCCAGTCTGGTGTGCTGTTACAAACCTGCAGTCCCAGCACTAGGGAGTTAGATGCCAGAGGACCACAAGTTCAAGGTGTGCTTGGTCTATATACAGTCTCAAAATAAATAAATAACTGATAGACAACAGATAATATAAAAATATGGATAATGAATAATATAAATAAAACTGCCCCCATCTTCTCTACTCTTGTTCCCTGTATGCTGATTTATTTTTCCCCTTAGCTCTCACCACTACCCACTATGGTCACTGTTTATTTACATATTTGGCTAGAAGTTTAAGTCCCCCTGACATAATATAAGCCCCTTACAGAACTTCTGTTTTGTTTACTGCTTTATTTTGCACATCTATTGTTGTGTCTGAACACAAGAGGTGCTTAATGAATGCTTGCTGAGTTATGGGCGTGCAGCCCAGTCACCTCAGTGAACTCAGCCGGCTGCTGTTGTCCCTGCCAATGTCTCATCCAAGAACCCTGGAAGTGACCAGAACACACACATTATCTATCAAACAAACAGAAAGAACCACCTCCTGCTGGCCCTGACCCCCTCATCCTGTCATGTGTCTGGTTCTCTGTGAGTTGAACTGATGAGACCAGCAGGTCCTGAGTGCACTATATCACAGACAAACATGTCTGTCTTTTTACAATGTCAGAATTTATTGAATAACAATAAATTCATGAGGTTCAGCAGTTTCATTGGTAGCAACCTGCCACATTATCGCACCTACTTTAATAATCTGGCCGAGGCGAATGCAGGTTATTTTATCCCAATCTTAATTATTAATATTAACTCTCAGATCACACAGTACACAGTAAACATATATACGCCTGTAGCTACAGGATGAAGATAAGTGTAGGAGGTTACAGCAGAGTTTAAAGGGTTTTAGAAATAGGCTCATGGGAACGTGATAGAATTTTATTGGTAAGAGGCTGAGCCCACAGCAGCCGCATGGCACAGGCTGTTGCTTAGGAGTCAGGCTCAAGGGAAAGCCAGTGGTGAGAGTGAAGATGCAGCCGGCTGCAGAGACAAGAGCTCAGAACCCAGTCAAGAGCAGGAACATCAGGTACGGCTCCAGACAGGTAGACAGGTAGCTGCAGATGGCACATGTGAGGACCGCATCAACAGCAGGAGTGGGGCTGGGGGTGGGATATGGGACACAAGCCAGCCTAACTGACTAAGTGAAGCCCCAGGGACAGCTGAGAGTCTTCTGTCTGTTGGTCCTTGATACACACACCAGGTCTCAGATGACAGGTTGGTAGAGCTGTTGTCATCACAGTACTCACTGTCCACCACTTTATGGGGTCCAGGTGAGGCAGTTACAACCTTTCCTTGATGTGGTGTGTCTGATAAGTCCTTGGGCCTTAATTCCTTGTTATGATGTTAATGTTCCTATGTACCTCTACAGTCTCAATTTGCCCCAATAAATGTATAGGCTGGCCCCCTTTCTACTCCCAGGAATGTCCGTGCTACATGGGGTCCAGCCACACTTCTATGTCCTCGCCTTCCCAGCTTCCAGGCCTCTGTCTTTGTTGGTCTCTGTTCAAATGCCACCTCCTCCCTGACCACACTAAGCCCCTCCCTCATCCTCTTCTTTCTCATTCTAAGGTTTGGCATGACATCTGATTTATTTTCCTTCTTATCTGATGCTTGTCTTTCTGCCTGGTCTGTTAGAGCCACAGATACAGGACTGGCGTCTGGATTTGTTCAACTGTGGCTCTTCCAGGGCACGTGGGGCCAGCTCTGCATAGATTTTGTACAGCAAAGGACCCCATGCTCAGCTCCAGCTCTGTTCTCATTGCCTTGGGATTCTTAAGTCTTGAATAAGGGACCCAGAAATGTTGACTTTGCAATCAGCCCTGCATATGGTATATAGTAGGTGATCAATAAATGCTCATGCAGCTCAGAGAGGCCAGTGAGTACATAGATCCATATGCAGTGTCAGAACCAGTCTGCTGTCACAGCCTGGTACTGGAACCCTGAGGCATCCTGTACCTTGGACTGCCACAAAGCCCCTGTCTGAACCCCAGAAAAGCCCACTGTGGAACCCCTCCCTCTCCCCATTTCACATCTTATTGCTTTTCCTTCAGTTCCCACTAGCTTCAGTTGCTAAGGACCAGTGGTCCCTCACCCCAGAATCATCCAGGTCTGCTGCTAAAAGCTAAACGGAAAAGCAGCTCAAAGCCTGTTTCGTTTAAGAGCCTCAGTGGCATCCGAACATGACCCACTGGGCTGGGCTGGCAGGGCTTCACATGGTACCAGGTGCCGTCTGCAGTGGACCACAGCCCTGAGTGTGGAGTTCAGTGCCATGGCCAGCCTCCCTTTCCACAGTCATGGAATTAAATCAGATATTCTGCAGCTAACCTGCAGCTGGCAACTTCGGCGGTGCTGAGACGGTTCCAGTTCCCTGTCTCTGTCCTCATCTGCCTCTGTTCGTGGACTCTGGCTCATCAATGCCCCGTGAGGCACCCCCATAGGCCCACTCAGACTACCGGGAGGGGGACTTGGGCTAAGGAGTGGGAGTGTGCAGGAACAGGATCCAAACTGAACAACTATTCCGTTTGACCCAAGTGGTATGTTTTTAAAGTAAAATTAAGTCAGGAAGTAAGGAAACATTCAGATTGTGAACTTCTCTTGAAAAAACAGGAGGAAAAAAAAAAAAAAAAAGGAACTCATGGAGGGCTGGGGAGATAGGAGATG